TCGATAAAAACACATAATTACATCAGGTTACAGCCAGCAGACATACTCAAACAACCACACGACTAAATCGAGTGCGAAGCCAACCTAAAGGTATTCTAGAATTTACACTAACTCACACAATTCACGCACTAGCTAGCTACCAACTATACAAAGACTAGTGCAGAATTCACGCTCCTAGCTAACAAGTAGAATAAAACTAGGAACGATACAAAACCACTAGAAACAATTACAAAAGAAAAACTAATAGCTAAAATAACACCCTCCGCACCAGTTGGGAAACTGAACCGGTCCTCCACCCCTCGAACCAAAAGACCGAGAGGCGACCACCCAAGAAAACGAGAACGTGTTAACTACCTAACACACGGATTTTGGAACTCCAACGTGTGAGAATGTGGGCAAAATATATGTTGTATATTCACTAAGACATTTACACATATATATAGATAAATAAATGGGCCTAAACCTAGCCTACAATACAAGAATACAATTTACATAACTAAGACCTGCCCCCCTCAAGCTCAAGGTGGTACACTGGAGATCAACTTGAGTTTGCTAAGAAGTAAACAAAAGCGACCGACAAGGAAAGACTTCGTAAAGACATCTGCTGTTTGATCCGCAGAGGAGACTGAAACAGGTTGCACAGTCATGAGCAGCATGTTGTAGAATGAAGTAACAATCAATCTCAATATGCTTGGTGCGCTAATGAAAGGTATTATTATGAGACATCTTCATAGCACTCTGACTATCGCAATGTAAAGCAGTAGACGACGACTAAGGTGCACCGAGATCAACAAGAAACCAACGCAACTATAATAGCTCTGACGTGGAATCAACAAGAGCACGATACTCAGACTCAACACTCAATCTGGAAATTAACGTTCGCTTCTTACTGCGCCAGGAGACAAGTGAATCACCTAGAAAGAAGCAATACCCAATAATGGAACGACGATATGTAGGATATCTAACCCAATCTACATCAGAATAGCCAACGGGTCGATAAGTGTAAACCATGAAATAGGGTTCCTTCACATAGCGAAGGATGTGCAACACAACGGATGATGCGTGGTTCTCGGAGTAGCCATAAATTGACTCGCAATGTGAACACCATGAGCTGTATCATGCCGAGTGACAGTCAAATAGATCAAACTCCCAACGAGCTGACGATATAATGTAGGATCCTCAAGAAGATAGCCATCAAAAGGAATAAGACGAACATCATAATCAAGAGGTGTGAAAGCTGTCTGACAATCAGTGAGACCAACCCGAGCAAGAAGATCAGAGGCATACTTGGCTTAAGACAAATAGAAGACATCAGATGAATCACATATCTTAAGACCCAAAAAATAGTGAAACTGACCCAAACTCTTCATCTTAAAATGCTGACGAAGATAGCCTTGTAAATCAGAAATACCGGTAACATTATCTCCCGTGATGACCATATCGTCAACATAGAGCAACAAAATAATGATCCCAGATTAGGAGCGCCGAAGAAACAAAGCAGAATCGTGATCACTCGTAGTGAAACCAAATTGTAACAATGCAGAATTAAAGGTTGCATACCAGGCACGAGACGCTTGATTCAAACCATACAAAGCTCGACGTAGACGACAAACCTTCCCATATGACAAGGACCCCGGAGGAGGAGTCATGTAAACCTCCTCAGATAAGACACCGTGCAAGACAGGAAATCTTGACATCTAACTGTAGAAAAGACCAACAACGAACAACGACAACTGCAAGTAAACACCGGACAGTAGCAAGACGAGCAACCGGTGAAAAAGTCTCTTCATAATCGATACCCTACTCCTGTGAGTACCCCTTAGCAACCAGACGAGCTTTGTAGCGCTCATCCATCTGAATTTGTTTTGATCTTATAAACCCATTTGCATCCGATGGGTGTCTTGCCAGCAGGTAGATCCACCAAATCCTCAGTATGAGTCTTTGCCAACGCCTGTAATTCCTCAGCTATAGCTTGTTGCGACAACAGATCATGATGAGATAGTATGACCGAATAACAATGATAATTAAGTAGGTGATAAGCTGGACGACTTACACGAGTTGACCGTCGGTGATCGTGGTATGTGAAGAGACAGGAGTGGCCGGTTCGCCCAGAAAATCGAACCAGACTGGTCAGCTCGACCTGTTAGATCGAAAATCGATCACTTGACCGGTCCGATTCATTGGAACGAACAGATTTCCAGCGGAACCGGCCAATGATTAGTTGAACTGGTAAAAGAAATGTCGATTGGACCGGTTTGAACCGATTTAGCTTTTTTTTTTTTAATATAAATAAAAAATACCTATTCCAATGTAATGGATACATATAAGGCTATCTTTATTTGTGACCCAACCTATTGGGTCACCAGCTAAAA